GTCTCACGGTGTTGTCGCTTGCAGATTTACCTATACTTCTTCAACCCTGAAGATGGGGGCGATACGTTCCTCCGAAACGTCGGTTAACACCACATATACACGGTGCCAAATCCCAGAAGACTGCTTTCTTCATAGTCACCGCCGTGAAAGCCTCAAATCTTACATTATTCTTTTTATAATATCTTCATTTTCTCTCATTATAACATGTCCTGCCCATCTCAGACTATGTATTTTAATTCTTTTAATTATATCATAATTATCAAATTAATTATATAATTCCTTTTTATAACATCTTCACAAGACCCCATCAGTTTGTACTGCCCCATAGTTTCTCCTTAAAATCTTTGTCAGAGAACATCTAAGAAGTACTTCATGAGCCTTGCCCAGAGTCCAGCTCTCAGATCCATAAAGCGCTGTTGGAAGTTTAATAGCTTTATGCAGTTGACATTTAGTTTTCCTCTTCAGTAACTCAGATTTCATCAGTTTCAACATGCCATGATAAGATATATTTTCTGTTATAATTCTGCATTTAATTTCTTCTTTCAAATAATTTTTACAATTTATTAGAGACCCCAGATATATAGATTTCTGTCACAACTTCAAACATACATGAATCAATAATGACAGTTTGGTTGTGCAGTAAGTTTGAATAGGCAGGGTCGTTTAGTGCCATGAGTTATATTCTCACTTATTGTTATCCCATTTTCCTTAGCATGTTTCTCCATACTAATGAAAGTTTATTTAACTACTGCTAGTGAGTGTCCAGTTATATAGTCTATATATGCCAATATTGTATTGATTTATTAAATATTGTACCTGTAGTTTCCACTTTACCATCTCTTATTACTTTTTCTAATCTTCATTCATTCCATCAAATTCTCCACAAATAAGAATATTTAACTACAGTAAAACTTGGTTATAGCAACATCGGTTTCTGCGACACCTTGTCTATTGCGTCAGATATTCAATGGTACGAACTAATTCCTCATAAAGCAACTGTTTTTATACCTTGCTTAGTACGACATGCACAAATGCATCAACCTCGTATGTAACGTCATTTTCATTCCTGAATTTCTCTGATATCGTGGGAAAGTTCGATGTGTCTGCCAACCCTCACTTTCTCTACTTGCTGACGTGACTGTCCTGGAAGAATACGACCGCGGGCTGCAGGAGGAGCGTGGGTTTTATGCGAAAACGAGGGAGTGGGGTGGGACTGCGTGAATAGTGCAAGAGGACGCGGCAGGTTGTTAACTGCATTCCTTTCCTAGAATCTCGTCTAACAGGACCTCACATTGTCTACTTACCCTATAGTGTTCCTGCCTAAACCCAGAGAAGTGCAGTAGCGAAAACATGGCAATGAAAAGGAAAGTTTTAAGCATTGAAGAGAAAGTTAAAGTGATTCGTGAAATAGAAAATGGAAGGAAAAAAGCTGATGTATGCCGCGAATTTGGTTTGGTGAATTCTACAGTACAAACGATATGGAGAATCCATATTAATTCCATGTTAATGTTACGTTAGTCTGTACTTAACTACGTATATCACAAAAAAATGCAACATTTTAACTCGGTTTTTGGTGGATTTTTACGTGACTAACATAAGGCTGCTGTGGAAGTGCCCATTTCGGTTACAACGACATTCGTTTATAACGACACTATTTTTAGGTCCCTTTGGTGACGTTATAACCAAGTTCTACTGTAATTCTAAATTGTAATCAACTGTAAACAATTGTAACTATTGTAATTTTAATCTTACTCATATTAAATTGTTAATATTCAGAATTAACTTGACTTGTCCTATATCATGTACAATGATCTACAGTGACGAAATCAATCAATCAATCAATCAATCAATTAATCAATAAGACATGCTAGTGGGTCACATTTCCTTTAATGTAAAACTGTCTGGATAATACATTCCTTAATGTAACAAGGCACAATTGTTTGTCATTGTTAATTTTGTCAGTTTAATAAGTTCATCAGGAATCTCAATGTCCCTCATGGCCAGATGAAGAATGGAGTCATAGGCTGTTTGAAAATAAACATATAAATAAATAATATGTTTTAATAATAATATGCTGAAGTTTTTTGTATTATTTTTCTGATGTTAAAAATTTGGTCACTTGTTGATTTACAAGTTGTAAATCCACACTGATATTTTCCGACATGTTCCTTGAAAGTTGGCCCTAGTTTCACGAAAAGGACCACTGAGTAAATCTTGTATGCTACATTTACCAGTGATATACCTCTGTAGTTCTTACACTCTAGATGATCAGCTATTCTGGGTGTATTGACAAGACCACAGTCCATGTTTGTTTAGGTATATTGACATTAGAGAAAGATGTGATGCATGTAAAACCTTGTACATCATTTGAAAGCATTACTGACATTCCAAAAGTGGCACTGGCAAAGAATTCTATATAGATAGATGCACAGGATGATTCACAATTTCTTCAGGATGTTATACCTGAGGTCATTCCCATCAGAAATGTTATAGAAACATAGGTCTGACTTGTAGTTTGTTAAGGAGCAGTGGTTGTTTAAAATGGAGAATGGTATGGATGAAGTGACAGTAATTTCACATTGTCAACCATGTATGTTGGCATTTTTCAACACTGATTCTGTGTAGATGTGTGCTGTGTTATGCTTCTGAAGGAGATAATTGGTCAGTTTATCTTGAAGGGTCATCTTACAGGTGACATTTGTCTGGAGTGTCTGCAGAATTGACTCTCAGACCTGCCAGAAAATATACTATTGGAAGCATAATTGTGTGCATGATGAAGCATCTTCCAATTTTAGCTGTGCAGCGGAAATGTTGCTGGATCAATCATGATGGTCCACAGCATAGGCCACCCACATCTCACAGGGGCATTGGCATAAGTAATAAAATTATAAAACTGTGCAGACAACAAATTAGTTAACCTCTAACTTATGTAATTAATAAGTCATTAACCATGGGTCTATATCCAGAAAGATTAAAATATACAGTTATTAAATCAGTATACAAAAAAGGGGAAAAGGCTATTATTAGTAACTACAGGCCAATATCTAAAGTAAGTGGGTTTGAAAAAATATTTGAAATAGCAATTTTTAGAAGACTCAATGATCATATCATAAAACATAAAATATTTCTTTCAGAGCGGTATGGATTCCAAAAGGGATTATCAACTGAAGATGCTGTATATAAATTAACCAATGTAATACTTACAGTTTGGAATAGAAAAGAATATCTAACTGGTATATTTTGTGATATAGCCAAGGCGTTTATTTGCGTCAGTCATGAACTTCTGTCAATGAAACTACAGTACTATGGAGTGCAGGGTGTATTATTGCAATGGTTCAAATCTTACCTCCAATATAGGAGGCAAAGAGTGGAATTAAATATATACATTTCTGTCTGTGTCGGTGAATGACATTGGGCATCTGGGTGGCTGTAGACATCTCACTGTTAGTAATCAAAGAGATGAAGATTCTCTTCTGACAGTGGCAAACTCAGTTGTGGGCTCCTTTGCTGCTGAGAAGCAGCAGCCATGTTGTCCCTCAGGTTCTGATAAGGGGCACATGAGTATAAGAGGTCTCTTGATGGGTGTGAATATCCTGACTGTCAGGAACAAGAAACATTCTGAATAGCACCAGAAGGTGGCAAAGAAGAGGAAGATTATGAAGAAAGCAGTCTTCTGGGATTTGGCACTGTGTAAATGTGGTGTTAACCGACGTTTTGGATGAACGTATTGCCTCCATCTTCAGAGTAGAAGGAAAAATATAAGAAATCTGCAAGCGAAGAGACCGTGAGAACCAGTAAAAGCAGACTGGTGTTGGATTTCTTATATTCTTCCTTCTACCCCAAAGATGGAGGCAATACGTTCCTCTGAAACGTCGGTTAACACCACGTATACACGGTGCCAAGTCCCAGAGGACTGCTTTCTTCATAGTCACCGCCTTGAAAGCCTCAAATCTTACAAGAGGAAGATTCTTCACAAGGAGGCTGATGGCTCAAGTCCAGTTGAAACCAGTGGTGGGGGCTCTGTTATCTCTGTCAGCATATGAGGAAGGACAGCTGGGATACTCTCTTGGCAACAGTCCAGTACACAAGGATATTATGCCAGTACCTGCTGTGATTGTGTGTAAATTAAAGATAACTGACTGCATGGGTAGAGTCAATGGATATTAAGAGGGTGTCATCCTTGATAGTTTTGGCTGTAGCCAAAGTTGAGGCCTTTAGTGAGCCTGAACAACACTGGAGGCGCAGTGGATGCAATAGAGGTCTGAGTACATGATGTGGCTGGAAATTTCCCCCCTCATCACCGCTCAGTACCTTACAAATTATATATGAAATATTTTTTATAAGATAAAAGTTCCAGATATGGTGATGAAACTTTGGAGTTATGTTGGATACATTTAATGTAAACTGAATCTGTACTGAAGAAATAAGTTCTTCCCGTAAAGAAAATAGTATTATTAATACAATACAATATTAACATCAACATCAGTCTTTAAAATATTTACAGTTGCAAGTGGTAGATGTATTCTTACCTGTAGGTAGCAGAATTGGGTCCTGCTATTGTATGCACATTAAGCCCAGCTGCAAATCCATGAGCAAGGTTGCAGTTAATTGTTGCCTTAACATACATTACTTGAATATAATGTTAACTCAAGATTTGCAAGCCTGGAAATGTGTGCAATAGGAAAGTAAGCTTTTTGATATCTGTTTATAACTCTGGTAATTTTGTAAAATAACATATTAATGATTTTATTTTACAGCCCTCTGTGATGTTAAAAATATGGACTGAAGAATTTTTGTCTGTAAGTACAGCTTGCTACAAATTAATATTATAGAAGTATTGGTTTTGTGATTAATGCATAAGATAAAAGGTGAAATTGCTCCTTTGTCTAAACATCTCAGCATGAAGACGTGTGTGACTGGAGATAAAGCTTTTTGGGACCATATTATATCCGATCTTCACCATTATGATCAAGTCTCTGATTTTTTTCCTCATATTAAAAAATATTGTAGTCTTCTTGGCACTTCTAATTTTTTGTTGTTGTAATCTCTCCTTCCTTGATTATTTCACATAATTTCCCATTGAAAAATCATCTTCTTGGGGTTAACATTTTTCACTGGCTCAATTGCAGCACTGGTTCTTTCTCTTCTGTCCCTATATCTATATCATTCTTTCCTCCATGATTTACTGTACTACACTGAAGATGGAGGCAGTAAATTTACCCGAAACATTGCTACCTTTCTGCCAAACTATGAGTACATGGTGTGAAATATAAAAAGGTCATAGTTTTCATATTCTGTTCATAATTTCTTAGTCATACAAGACGGTTTTGCCATGAGATAACAAAGAAGGTAGAATTGCATGATGATGAATAAGCATTTTTGAAGGCCATGGAATGGTGTTCCTGTGTACATTTCTGCATTTTGTGAGTTGTTTGCAAAACTTTCCTGAAATAATACAGAGTGGGGAGGTCATCTCTGTCCATACTTCATCTCCAAAACTCCTGATTGGAGTTTGTTGAAATTTGGTATTGGGTATGTACAGTTAAAGTTGGGCATTAACTTAATTTTGGTTTGTTTTGGTTCAATACAACTCCTACTTTATAAGAAGCTCAAATCGGACTTTGTAGTCCATGATATGTATACAGTTGGCTGTCTTGTAGTGCACTCAATTTCACCTGTTACAACACTCGCAGCTAGAAAGGGAACACACATCACAAGACACGGTTTACACAGAATATAAGAAAAACGACTCCCATAGCAGAAGAACCACACTCAAGTTTTAATTAAGACACATAAGATGAATAATCTTAACAAGTTTTAGTGTGTGTAAATTTATTATAGTTGACAAATACACACTTTTTAAATACTTTTTCAGTAATTTTATAAAGACATATAATGGCAAGCAGTGCAAAAGATTAGCGTAATTAGGGCACCTGATGATGGCACTATGTTGCCAAAACATGTCGTGAAGTAACAGGTGAAATTGAGTGCACTACAAGACGGCCAACTGTATACATATCGTGGATGAAAATCAGTGCAGCAGGACAACATTATGAATGGTAGACTTTGTAGATTTTCTCAAAAATGTCTCATCATACAAAAAATAGGCACATAACACAAAATATAGATCTAATTAGTGATAATGTGAAGATTTTTAAATGCACACTGGAAAGTTTCCTCACAACTAATGCTTTTTAATCAATAGATGAATATCTTTCTGCTAAGCATGTGTAACATTTAATAACTATATTCCTTGTAATTTTGTTTGTGAATGACAATGTAAATTATGGTTATTTGATGCTTTTGGTTGTGTGTGGTTGTTTGCCGTTGACATGATTGTACTTCTGCAATCAAGTCTTATTTTGACGAGTTCAATATCCAGTCCAATTTGGACAACAGATCAGTGAATTTATGAATTATGTATGTAATTAAGATTTATATCACTTATGGAACATTTTTCAGTACAGTGAATATCTAATGATGTGAGAGGAAAAGTAATTTATGAAAACAGTGTAATGTCTTTATTGTGATTACCTTTGCAGCACTAGTATTTACAATATTGTATTTACAATAAATGGATGCCGGGGGCAGTGAGGCATGCAAACACACGAACATGTCTGGAAGACGTGTACTGCAGTAGGATGTACCTTTCCACTTTTTATCTGCTGATTTGATTCAAGTTCTGAGAAAGTTGGCTCAACCAATAATGCTTCTGACTTTTATTTGGAAGGTGCCAGGTTTGAATCTTATTTGGGGCACCAACTATTGTGACTAAAGATTTTTATTGTTTTCCTCATTTCTTCCAGGCAGAAGTTGGGATAGTGCCTTAAATTAGGCCATGACCATGCCTTTTCATGTTCTTTCAAATTAATTATTATCCAGCTATTCAGTTCTATATAGTTTGAGTTAATTATGTGGTCAGTAAACATACTGCAGAATAGGTTTGATCACAGCCAGCAATTGGCGGAGGCAACCACATTCACAGCACACTCAGCTGACACCAGCCATGCCTAACAAATGGACAGTAAATTAACTCCTTAGTATAGTTTATGTGTAGTGGCACAAATTAAATGCTGTTTCCGTATTTTGAAGGTTACGTTACTATGTATTCATTTTTGCTGGAAAATATGAACTTTGAAAGATATCATATAATTAATGCTATTTAGTGTGAGTAATATTGTCTGGTACATGAAATTGTATTTTTTTTTACAGACAGTATCAAGACTGGATCCAAAATTCATAGCTTTACATTGCCAGGAGGTTGGAGGGAAGAACTATGAACGCAGTATGAACCATGTGGAGTATTTTGTTAGGTATGTGACTTTCACTTCCTTTACTTGTAATACGTTAATAACTGAATATATGGTGGCCTTCAGTTAATTTTGTATCTGTTACGAGTGACATTGTTTCAGTTTGAAAGAGAAAGTGCTGTTTTGCGAAGATAAGCTTAAGTAGTCATTGACTCTGTGACCTGTTTCAGTTTTTACAGCTTTAGTTTAAGTTTCATAGAAAAAGATGAGTTACAAAAACTATACATTTTTCAACACAAAATCTCTGTATGAAATATTTTAGATTAGTTAAGAAACTGTCCAGCTTATTTTCTTATTTTAATTATAATATTAAACTTTTGATATTGAGGCTGCGTGTGTGCATACATGTGTGGGAATGGATGTGCTCATGTGCTTGTTTGGAGGGGGACCGGAGGCACTGCTTTATGGAATAATTTTGGTGGTTTGATATTATAGGGTGGTATGCTTTTTTGAAGGTACCGATGCACATGTAGGATTCCATGAAAGCAGGGAATATTGTATGTAGCTGGGTAACTAAGAACTGCTCAGGGAAGGCATGCTGTGATTTTGTTTTGGTAGGTAGATGTCATTGTTTTGGAGTTGGTGCTCTAATACCAAATTACTCAGTGTAACATACTAGAAGCAACAAGTCCCTCTGAAATATCTGTACCCCTTTACCAAACTGCACAACATCCCACCTCTGCAGACCATAATCATCATAAAAGTGTTCTGATATATTGAGCCATAGGTGGAATGTGTAAAATTTTATTGTAGTCTAAATTGTACAATATGGATTACACCCTACATGAAGTTCTAAATACATCGCTACATATATTTTGATAACTATTATGACATATTTGCCAAAAACAGAGGCATGTTGCTAGGCTGTGGCGCGAGGCAGAGGTTAAGTTCAGAAGTTCGGAATGGCCATGAATGCTGTGATATTCATTTGCGCAACAGACATCGGTGAATGCTCCTAGAAAAATGTATCTGGTGCTCGACGGATTCAAATCTTATGGCAACTGAACAGAGATAAACAGATTCAACCAGGAATTCAATGCTATAACTGGATTAAATCCAACATCCTTGATGCTATTTGCTTTGTTCTGGGCATAAGTAATTTGATGCAGGTAGTTAATGTATGATTGGATATTACTAAGGATGAATTATTTTGTTACTGCAGTACTGTTTATGTTTTTATTTGGTTGCCAACGACGAAGAGTTAGTTCTGCTGTAGGCTGCGCCATAGCTCAAGCGGTTAGTCGCTGGCTTCCTACCGTGGCGGCCCGGGTTCGATCCCGGGTCTAGTCAAGTGGGATTTGTGGTGGACAAAGTGGCCCTGGGGCAGATTTTCTCCGAGTACTTCGGTTTCCGCTGCCAATCTTCATTCCAGCAATTACTTAGTTAATGAGAATTTCATGTTGTGTAGGAATTGTTTATTCTGAGTAAAGGATCATGGTAACATTATTTTGTTGTTCAGTTTTTAGTTTTAGGATTTTATTCTCATTAGGTTAAAGTTAGATGCATAGGTCAGTGATTTAAGCATTTATTTTAAATATTATATTCAAGAGTATGTTAGTTAATGAGGGATGTAAATTGTACCATGTTTTTTTCTGAAATGTTTGCAAGTTTTCTTTCTTAGTTTATACAGGTGTCTCATTACAACATGTCATATTTTACAGGATGTTCCTGGATATCAAACTAAGTAAAAAAGTTCATGTGGATATATACCCTGAGAGACTTCCTTAAGAGTTACAGATTTTCTAATGTCAGTTTCCATGGTCACACCTTCAGTACTTCCTAAGTTTAATGGGTTGTGTATAAGAAGAATAAACAAAAGAGTTATTATTAAGTTCTTTCTTTTTACTTTCTCATATTATGTGCTCCAGGTAGCCTCCATGTCCACAGACACATAATTCACCTGTGTGTGAAAAGAAGTTCACAAGTATCCGAAGATTCTGGGTGTATTGTTTATTTCACTTGCAAATTGTTGAATTCAACCCAGCAATTCCTCTCTGATATTGACTGCACTGGCATAGACCTTGGTATTCAAATATCCCCACAGAAAGAAATTGAGAGGATTCAAGTCAGGTGAGCATGTAGGCCAGAAAAATGAAGCTTCATGTCCATGATCATGATAATTTTTGGACAGAAGTTGATGCATTTAATGGTTATAATGTGGAGTATCATGGTGTTGAAACCACATACAAAGGCCTGTATTGAAGGACACACCATCCAGAAGTCCACTTAAGTGTGTTAGAAGAAAATTAAGGTAATTGTGTCCACTAAGCTCTGCTGGTAAAATGTGATGGTCTGTGAGATACTCACCAAAGTTCCAGCCCACAGGTTTGTGGAAAACTGTTGTTGCTGATGGTGAGATTGAATTACATGATTTTCATCTTACCACAGGTGTTTGTCGTGAATATTTGGGATCCCAGTCCTAGTGAAGCATGAATTATCCATGAAAAGCCTTTGCTATAAATGTAGGGTCTTTGGCTGAATGTTGCAAAATCCCTTGGCAGAACGCACGTCTTGCAGGTACATCGTGTAGTACTAACTCTTGCAGAGACTGAATGTGACAGGGATACAGCTGATGCTCTTGTAACGCATGGTGTACAGAAGCGTGCAGGGTACTTGTACTAGCTGCAGGACATGTGATACTGATGGTAGTGTGTCTTTCATTGACTTTGAGGATCTGCTATTCCATCTGCACATTATACGAGTATGTAGAACATCGGCAGCCAACATCCCATTACATTCTGGGAAATGTTCTCATCTCTCGGAGTTGGGGGTCAACAGAAAGGGAAGTATGTCTGTTTGGCATTCTCTGATTATCTTTTAACAGCATCTGTAACATTTTCATTGCACTATCCTAGCACAAGATGCTTGTCCACTAATTCAATAAATGAATAGCTACTTTCCATGCTGAAGCAGCATATAATGTGCTTTCTGAAGCTTAGATTTCTTTAGATGGCCTCAAGGTGTAATCGTGTGTTACTTCTTATTTGTCTACATGCTGTACAGTACTGCATATTTGGGGCAAGGTCTTTCTGTTTCTGTAAACACCAATACAGAGTTGGTGTCAAGTAGATCTCTATGCTTACCGTGCTATGCACACAAAATGATCTTTGAACATCGGTTTTTCAGAATGTGGTGGCAGGATCCGACATTTTGGTTATAGCTTTTTAAAGGAAGCCATCAGGGTACATATTCTTATGACCTTTTTTAATTTTAATATCACAAACCATCCTGCAAAATATGGAATATAACAGTGAGACACCTGTGTGTAACACTTTCTTATCTGTATAGGTTATATAGCATCTGATGCAGGGACAGGCAAACTCTGGCCTTAGAAACAAATTTATCTGGCTTGTGATAATGTTCAGATATTAATAACAGGATTCTTATCAGATTTTACTTTTTCATATGTAATATGGAGGAAATATTCTAATTGTAATAGTTAAATAAATAGAAACTGAGATGATGAAAATGGAAGTCTTTCTTTCTCTAGTACCGATCTGTTATTTTTATATACAGTACCAGAAATTAATTAAATAATTTTCCTGGGTAGTAAAGCGCGACCGGTGCATAAGGCTGACAACCTTACCGCCATCTTTGAGCCGATTGTCTAGATAATGTGGGACCCTCAGTGTCTCACAACCCTATGGGCCTTCACGGCCTGGTACAGGGATAGCTTTACTTTTACTTTTTACCCAACAGAAATATTGTTTATAGGTCAACAGTGGTGAAAGTACTGATATTTGAGGTTATGTCCTACAAATTTAAAGTAAATAAAATCTGTGCTTAAGTGCAGAGTTCTTCCAAAAAAGAAAATAATACAGTAGTGCTAATCACTAATGAGACAATGACCACAACAACAACAAATCTGCATAATCACCATCAACATCATGATCAGTGATGATGACACCAGCAGTCTCTAATATACAGGGAAGTTAATAAATTTTGTTTTCAGTTATAGAGTAGTGAACAGTGTGTTATATTATGGTGTCATATACTGTAGAGCAACATGTATCTTTGTATGACATGCGTGTGAAATTTGGATCTGAAAGAATGTGTCAGTGAAAGGTTCAGTGTAAATTTTGTGATGAAAGAGTTCCCAGCAAACAAATCATCATTTGGTGAATAAACTTAGATCAGTCGGTTTGTTAATAGACAAGAAACAAAAACGTTAATATTGAATGCTGTCTGAGAATTTAGCTGACATAGGAGCCTGATTTAAATATGCACTTAGAAAATCACTAAAACATTGACTCAGGAGACTGGGGTGTCGAAGTCAAGTGCAAAGAAGGCAGCACAATTGCTGAAGCTTAGACCCTGTGGAACAACAGTAATTCAGATCTTTCAGCTGTGCAATCCAGCTAGCAGAGTTCATTTTTGCAGTTGGTTTGTGCAGTGTCATCAAATGTGAAATTGATCTGCAGTTGACATTCTTTTCTGATGAAGCATTGTTTCACTTACAGGGTTATGTAAATAATCAAAATAATTGCTATAATTGCTACTGGAATTCACAGAAGCAACATCTAATGCAGAATGTTCCACTCTGTCCTGTGAAAGTTGGTGTGTCTGATGTGCTGTAAGGAGAAGAAGGCTTGTTGCACCTGTGTTTTTTAAGTAAATAATTAATTGTGAAAGATATGTACAGGTGGTTCTTGAACAATTCTTTGAGGCGCTAACTGAAGAAGAAAAACCATATGGCTGGTTTCAGCAAGACTCAGAAGCTATCCACACTGCATGTATGTCTGTGCAAGATTTGTCTAATGTCTTCGGGGACAGAATTATCAGCAGTGGTACTTGACCAGCTTGTTTATCTGACCTCAATTATTTTGAATTTTTCTTCTGGGGTTGTTTGAAGGACAGAGTTTACAAGAGTAACACATAAGTGGAAGAAAGGAAAGGAAATATCTGTAGAGATCTGTGAATATTTCTGTAGTACAACAGGAGAGAGTATATCAGAACCTCTTCTGCTGGCGTGAGAATGTGCACACGTGCGTGCATGTGTGTGTGTGTAGAGAGACAGCACGTTCAGCACCTTCTGTGATCTGTGAAGTGTAACTGCTTCATTCTAGACATTGTCAGCCATCAGACATATTGATTCAGTGGCAAAATCCATAGTCGCCTCACAGCCTGCAGGGCATTGGTCACTGTGAAGGGCAATACCGTGAACTGGTCATTAAAGGTAACAGCTTCCCTGGGCTTACAATTGCAAGCATTAAGACCACATGTGTACAAAGTACAGTCAATAATTTCGTGGATTGGCTGCATGGTGGCACTGTTATGCATTACAGCAGATATGTGGAACCATGAGATGGTTCCATATTTGTTCTTCTCTTGTTCCAGCAAGAAGCAGTTGCGTGTGTGTGGTATATTCAGAAAGGAAGTCACTGTTGTGAAAGGCATCTGTCTGCAAGCAGCGAAAATCGAAAATGTCGCAGTTTGAGGAATGGGAAAACATCAAGCTCTGCCAAAATTTAGGCAAACCTACTAGCGAAACATTTCAGATGATCAAGCAAGCCTACGGCACAGAAGCCTTGGGCTGTAGTGCTGCGTTTAAGTGGCACAAACGTTTTGCACAGAGGTGAGACAGTTTGAAAGATGATGAACATACTGGTCCACCAAGAATGGTCAGAACTGAACTCAAGATCCAAGAAGTTGCAGTGTTTGTGTGCCAACTGCTCCTGAATGGTAGATGAAATCACAACAGCAGCAGGAGCAGGGATTAGCCATGGTGCTTGCCACAAAATTCTATCTGATGACCTGAACATGTCTCGTGTTACCCAGCACAGTGTTCCACTCGTCCTGGCACAACCATCGTGACAGTTGCATGACCATTTTCAGTGACCTGATTTGTAGTGCTGACAAAGATGGAATGTTTCTCAGCCATATCATGACAGGAGGCAAAACATGGTGTTTTCTGTACTATCCACAATGAAACGACAATCAGCGTCCTGGAAATCGCAATCATTGCCAAGGAAGAAGAAACTGCAACAGGATAGGTCAAAAGGCAAAGTAATGCTTGAACTGTTTTTTGACTCATCTGGAATTGTTCACATGGAATTCATCCCAGAAGGAGCAACTGTAAACAAGCACCGCTGCAAGGAGATCCTTTGCCATCTATGCAGTTCAGTTTGTCATAAGCGCCCTGTAGTCTTAGACACTGACAGATTCATAAAATAAACCACATAAAAAACCACCAATTACAAAATCTATCTGTATTTTATGTGTGTGGTACATGTTAGTTTACCCGTGAAAGAAACGTATTTTCAGATTAAATTGAAATTTGTTCAAAACTTGTTTGTGTGAAATGGCCAGAGTCTCTTAAGTGTTAAATTTATCCCACCATAAAATTTAGACTCTTGTGTAACTAAGGAATTTCTGAGTTTCAGCATCTTTATACGAGCTTTCCACATTCAAGTAATGAAATCCTTATCATAATAAAACTCCTGCATAACAAATGCATGAAATGATGCTGCCAAGTGAAACAGTCTTGTTATATTTTTAGCTAGTCAGTCAGCTGTGATGTTTGATGCGTTGTACTGCTAGTCTGGAAGCCATGTGGCCTTGTGTTCTGCACGTTATTTTGCTATGTTTCACTGTAATGGTTAGTGTTCCTTCTTTGTTTAAGATGTATGAGGGTTGAATCTCTGTGCAGAGACTCACTGTCATACCTGATATTCTTTTCCTCCATCCTGGTAACAAATCTTGCAGTGCCTGTAATGTTTTAAAATAGGCCATGACTACTTTCTTCAGTAGTATTCTCTACTAACAATTTATAATTGTCCCCTGTATAACTGTGCACTTGATACAGTGTTGTTAAATAAATCAGGTAATATTTATTGTATTTTATAATTAGTGTTTCATTTTTATTTTTTGTGCATAGAAGATTACGAACTTAAGCAATTTCACAAAATATTATTTCTTGCCTTATGAATTTTATTGTTACAACTATTGCTTTTTCAGTACTACGTATTGTCTGTCTACATTATTGTACACAGCGGTTGAAAGAAATTAAGGAACAATATCTGCTTCATACTCTTCAGTTGCTGTATGTCATAGTCTCAATTTTACTGTTTAAGATATGGGAAACCCCTGGTTTGTCAGTGTTAATAGTAATTATGTAGGCCCATAGAAATTACTCACTGATGTGATAATATTAATTTAAGTGGTTTATGCTATTCATCAGTCAGTTCAAAATTATTATTCGCCTTTTTGTATTTGTGTACCTAATAAGTGTAAAATATCTTTTGTTATGTTATTTTGACTCCCATTTATATGTTTTTCACATCATATGTGTTAATACTACTGAATTTTCCAGAAGAGTGCTGATGGCATGTGTTGATGACTCACTATATTGTGTGATAGACATCATGATAACATTCTGTTTCTCACATCACTGATCTGTTCAGTCCTATTGACCATTTCAGTTTTCATGCATGTACTCATTCATCTTTAGTTTGTAAACCCCAACTTACATGACTGTGCTAAGAATATGCCTGTTATGATTCACTTTCCAGTTGTCCATATTCTGGTTTGCAGGTGAAAAACTTGAATGTGTTGAATAATTTTAATATCGAAGAAAGCAGTCTTCTGGGATGTGGCACCGTGTAGATTTTGTGTATCGCCTCCATCTTCAGGGTAGAAGGAAAAATAAGAAAATCTGCAAGCGAAGAGACAGTGAGAACCGGTGCAAGCAGACTCTTCTCTGCGCTTGCAGATTTTCTTATTTTTCCTTCTACCCTGAAGATGGAGGCGATACATTCCTCCGAAACGTCGGTTAACACCACATCTACACAGTGCCACATCCCAGAAGACTGCTTGTTCATAGTCACCGCTGTGAAAACCTCAAATCTTACAATTTTAATATTGTTTCCTAGGCGATGTTAACCATTTTCATGTAGCTTGTGGGATAGCTCAAGTGGTTATTAGACATTAGTTTCTCATTGCAGGAGCCTGGAGTCAGTCTCATGTCAGTTCATGTGGGATTTGTGGTGGACATTGTGGCACTGAAACACATTTTTTTCTGTGAATGCTTAAGTTTCTCCTGGCAATTCACATTTCCTCAGGTGCGTCAGTTCTCTCATCTGTTAGCTGGGGCTGTTACAGCAGGCAATTTTATGGCCCAAGTATCAAGGAGCTTGGTCTACTCCACTCAAATAATAATAATAATAATAATAATAATTATAAAAAAAGTGAAGGGATCCCTGTAAGAGGCCGTGAAGGCCCATATTGTTGTGAGATGTTGAGGTTTCCACATTTTCTAGACAGTCGGCTCACAGATGGCGGTCAGGTTGTCAGCCTTACACGCCGGGCACCCTTTACCTCCCAGGAATATTCCTGGTACTCATTTCCGTTAGAGGCTGAGTTGACCCCAAGGTCATAGTGTGGCTAGAAGGATTAGGTAAATTGAAAAAATCCAGGTCATCAGGATTTGATCCCGCTACCTTCCAGCTTGTAGCATAGTGCCTCAACCAACTGCACTACCGTGTGCCCCAACAACAACAACAACAACAACAACAACAACAACAACAGCAGCAGCAACAATGACAACAATGATGACAAGGATAATAACAACAACTTTTTATGAACAGTTAGATATTTTATGTAAAATTTGGAAAATTTGTTTCATAGGTTGAAATTGAAAGAAATAGTCTTCTGGAGAGTATAGGGAAAATGAATGATGAATAGTAGTGTTAGGGTGAGGGCACACCAAGGAAACTGGCAACTGCAATGCACCCGCAATTTCCGACAAATGTCGCCAATTTCAAGGAGGCAACTGGTTTTCAGATTAGCAGGTGCACACTGAGGAAACTTATGTTTGATTAGTTGCTCACAACGTCTTAAGTGGGTATGTTCGCCTGACATAATGCATGGTTGAATCTGTCGGATGTTATTTTTGGGAAATAGACTTCTGTTTCAGTGAGTTAATTGAGAAAAACCAAATGCTTCTATGTTTACACTGTATTCATATGTGTTAAAACCATATAAATGCAATAGTTTACTGTTCATAAAGTTTTTAAAATTGCCTGATTCATTGACGCACCTGTATATGTGAAATAAATTATATATTAATGCAACAGGATGCTTAAATACAATATTAGGAAAAGAAAACATTGGGTGCATCCGTTCTTCTGTAGCAGTTTAAACTGAGGTGCTTATATTGTTTTGAAATAACTTAACCAGGATTCAGGCTCCTTCATCTCATGAGAAATTCTTTCCCAAGCCAAATTTATTTTGCCCTGCCTAGCATAGTTTGGGTTGCATTTGTCATATATACCAGGCTACTGCTCAGTTAACTGCACAAAAACAAAATTGGTAGCTTTGTCAATCTTTCATGTCATTTTAAGACACAAATGAATCACTGAAGCCCATTATAGAACAGCTGATGGTAGGAAACCACACAACAACACAATTGTGAGAAGACTGGTATGCTCCATTACCTGGAAGTTGAGTTACTCAGTCTTTCTGCAAGTTGCATTGCTGATTCCTCAAGTTGTACTGCTACATTCAGTAACATGTGTTCAACTCTGGCTTATAGCATTTCTCAGAAATTGTGTTTACGTTGTGGTTTGCCAATTTCCTTGGTGTGCCCACACCCTTAATGTAGATACAGTTTAAGCTTTATTTTTCCATTTTACAATAGACTTAAACAAGGGGATGCTTTATTTCTGCTGCTTTTTAATTTTAATGTGGGATATACCATCAGATTTCAAGGGAATCATAAGGGAAGGACAGGGAAGGAGGATTACCGTTATGATGCACCTTAAGAAGATAAGTTATATGGATGGGAGGTGGATGAAAGTAGCTTGGGAATATGTATATAGTAGACTTTGGTATTACAATTGCTGATCCTGTGACATCTGCTGCCACAGTGTTAAATTATGGAAAGTTTATGATCTACATGCAGTTGTATGTTTTATTTCAGATTGCTCATGTCAAGTGAAGAGCTTAGATTATTTGACAAAGTACGAGTGTACCTAGATGAAGATTATTCTTCTGCTGAAAACTTCACTGTAAGCATGAAATACCATAACATACCTGTATATAACTCACTTTTGTATGTATTGAACATTATTTTTAAGGACAGTTTTATTTTGAACTGTTGTATTTGTAACTTCTGTAAATAGAAAGTGTGCATCTTATTTTAACATGAAAGGATCACATACAAACACACGGTGATGATGATTTACTAACTTTGTGAAATGTTGGCTGTCACTCAGATTTACAAAAGAAGATGGGAAGGACAAAGGAAAGTAAACATTTAAGACATTTTTATGGCTCGCCCCTGATACTCATAGTGTTTTGCTATGATAAAGGTAACTAAAGGCCTGTTTAGTTGTGTGAAACATGAAATAATAGGAGGCAAACATTTTTAGGTAAGAGATAGAACGAAGGAATGTGCAAAATTAATACATACCATGATATTGTAAATTTAAATTTGGTGTGTCTATTCATGCAGAAACATTTCAAGAAAGTGGATGTAGAGGAAGTTTCTTACAGGCTTTCTTGTTTTGTAATCAGTGATGATGATATAGCATGTAGATTCATTGCAAGGTAATGGCCCATACACATGCAACAGTGTAACATGTCACATCCATGGTGATGTCACTCAACAGTAGAAGAGATGTTGCAAGCAGTGTTCTCTGTGGATCCACTCAGAGGCTGTATGACTTGACTGAACAAGCTCATTTCCGTTAATGAGTGCAGTGCAGTGGAGTACAGTGAATTGAAGCAAGTTGGTTGGTGAGCAGTCAGAAGACTGCTGCAGTTCGTTGTGAGCTGCTGCTGTTAGAAGCTGGTAGCTGAGGCATGGGGATAGTTCAGGAACCCAGAATAAGCGGAATGCCCCCCATTTGAAACCATTAACAGGCAATGACTGGTGAAGACAGTAGACTCAAAAGACTTAGTGTGTGCTGTAGTGAATTGTAGAGTGTGTGAATTAGCAATAGTGCTGTAGTGAATTGTAGTTACAATTAGTAAGAGTTCATTTGATTCAATTACCAAACCAGACCACATCTATATGCACCCACACAGGTGGTGTATATTTAATATTTTTAAGTTTGCGAGCTTAAGCATAAAAAATATTGTTTTCTTTAAGAGAAATTGCAAATGAGAATCCTCCAGGAATTTTTAAATTACGTATTTTTCTTTATATTTTCAGGCATTGGGCAATTTCTACTTTATACATGAATCTCTGACAGATGTGTTGATATGGGACTTCTCAGGTAAGTGTTATGTCTGGTGTCTTCAGATAAAATTTATTGTGAGGTATTGAAAGTGAACATATCTTTTTCTTTGGTACTATTGATTTGCTCTGTTGGGAAATTGCAGCAATGAGTTTTGTACCTGCTAAAGGAAAGGAGGTCCACTCTGGGAATATTGAAGCTGTCAGCACAAAAGAGAAGTCAAAATTTCCTCAAAACTTCTTCCCAGAGGTGAGACTATACTTTAACAGGCATTGAAGTGTATAAAGCATACTTTTATATGATCAGTGCTTTCCAGCCTTTTCTTTTATAAAATTATTTTTCTTGTTCCCTTCTGATACTGTTTTTTTATATCTTACCTTTTTTGACTCCATGCTGTAATTAAAGAAGAGAAAAAGTTAATGAGTGTAATAGCGGTTCTTATTGACTTTATTAACAGCTCTAGAAAGCCCTGATTTCAGCTGTAATTTAATCTCTTGGATATTTTTCTGGTACTCACATATGTTGAACTTACGAATTATGTTGATGTATTGACTGCAGAAATGATTTTTGGATATCAGTTATGTTATATATTAAACTTTTATTTTATGACATGGATAAAATTTTTAATTATAAAATAGTTAAAATATTTTCACCTCATGATTTTAAACATTGAGAAAGATGTGGAAATGGTTTTATTGCACTGACCATTTAAATTTAAGTTTTCTGTTTTGTGTATGAATATACATAGGTTAGATAAAAAGTAGTGGCAACACCTGTATAGTTCTGAAATAACTTTATTACCTGAGGTAAACACACTTACATACCTTCAATATAATCACCCCCGCATGTGTACCACCTTCTGCCAAATTTGTGGAAGGCATACACCATCAGCATGCCCACTTCTGTTGATGTCCAGCAGTGACCGCCCTACAGCACAAATAATCTCTCTTGTATTGTAATTTGTCCCTCCCAGTGGTTCTTTCATTTTGGCAAAGAGATCATAATCGCATGGATTCATATCGGGTGAGTATTTTGGATGTTGCAGTATCTTCCATCGCCAGTGGCGAAGGAGATCCTTGACAGTGTCAGCAGTATGAGCCCTTGCATTGTCATGAAGGATGATGGGGTTCGTTGCCAACAAGTGTTGTCGCTTTCTCCTGAGTGCCGGACAAATATGATTACGCAGGAAATTGCAGTAGTAGGCAGCGTTTATAGTCTGTCGAGGTACAGTGTGGTGCAGTATCACTCCATTAATGTCATATGCCACAGTGAACATCGCGTTCACATTACTCTGTGTAGGGTGCACCTTCTTTGGACAAGGAGAGCCAGGATGCTTCCATTCATTTGATTGTTGCTTCAAGTGCGGTTTGTATGAGCGAGCCCAAGTTTCGTCCAGAGTTACAATCCTTCCAAGGAAGTAGTCACCTTCCCTCTGGTACCGGTCCAGCAAGTCCTGTGCAATTGCATAACATTGCCACTGTTGCACCTCAGACATTATGTGGGGTACCCAGCGTGCTGCGGTTTTGCAGTATCCAAGAATATCATGTGGAATGTGGAGCACGGTTTTGTGACATACGCCTACCTCAGCAGGTAACTCCCGCGCAGCCCATCAACGATCGACATCCAGCTAAGAAGCAAGAAGCTGAATTGTGTGGTTGTCAACATGGGGTCGTTCTGAACGACGGCTGTCCCGAATGGCATCCCTCCCTTCACGGAACAATTTCACCCATTGTGCCCCTGTGTGATATGACAAAGCAGCATCACCACATGCTTCTCACAGTCCCTGGTAACAGTTTTGTGCACTACAACCTCGTGCAACTTCAATTTTTATCCAGGACCGTTGTTTTTGTTTCGTAAACATGTTGTTAGGGTGCTTGACTGGGCTCCTGCACTTCAAGACAATGCACAATGCAACTTAATGAAACACAACCAGAGCCACTCACTACACTACTTCAACTGAACTTCTGCTATCAGCTACAGATGGTGCTAGTGCCACCTGACGCACATCTTTCATGTTACACTAGTGTTGCCACTACTTTTTATCCAACCCTTGTATTTAAGAGTTCCGTACATGTATCTTTTTCCTTACCATGTTAAATATGTAACTTAAAAAAAGGGGTTAATTCCTATAGATTTCCATCTTGTGTTTGCTTATAAGGTTTATGATTTTTGCTCAGAAGGAGAAGGAGCTGAGAAGGCATATCTTTAGTGAGACTGTATGAAGTTGTAACATTGGAGCAGTGAATATATGTGCATGCAAGGAAATAGTTTATCTTGTTTGCTGTAGGCATGGTGTAATTGTATTATTTAAATACTAGTAGTTGTTTATATTACTTGCATGTTTGACCTTGTTCATTTGAGAGGAGAGAAAAGGTGTCCTTGGTTAGGTGTGGATTTGCCTTTATACAGTAAAACTGTATTGATGTGTAATTCAGTAGCACCTAATTCTAAGTTGGCAGCATTCTTTGAATTGTAAGAGACAGTTTTGTACTCTTTAGTTTATTTCTTCACAGGAATTGGGTTCTTTGAAGCCTTTTCTGAGTTTGGTTATCAATCCCCCCCCAAGTGTATTCCTAAGTGTTCTTGTGTCACTTTTACCATGTGTTCTTTATATTGAAGGTGCTTGAAAATTCAGTTGCGGGCCATGCAAGAGATAAAATGCACTTCAAAATCGTAATCTCTCAGGCAGATAAGAAATGTTCCAAGTGAATTTTTGCTGTTTTGTAATTTCTTCGTGTCCCTCAGAAAGCAGTTGACCTTGACGCTGCAATTATTATTATCCTGTTACTAGTTATAACCTGTTAAGTCTGTGCTACAGTACTTATCCTGTAATATTTGTCAGATAAGTTAATTCAAACTTGTTTACTTTCAAGTCCATAATTGTTGGCTCCCTTTGCTTAGAGTTGAAATTTTACTGCATGACAAAATGGGAAATAAAAATATCATTGTATGCTATCTTGTGACTAAATCTTAGTTTAAACTTATCAGAGCCAACTTGCACAGCAAGTTGTCATGTTGTGCACAAAATACCTAATATGAATGCAGAGTCAGGAACATCTATTTGTTGATGTGTTAAATCTTTCCTGCTGCACTATTGCCCTGAGGTTGACTCAGCCTCTAACAGAAACGAGTACCAGTCATTTTCTTGGGGATAAAGGAATGCTGGCATGTAAGGCTGACATCCTCACCATCTAGAAAACTTGGGAGCCTTGACATCTCAGAACCGTGTTGGCCTCCATGGCCTGTTACAGGGAGAGCTTTACCATTACTTTACCGTTACGTGACTATTTAATGGACTTAAATGAAACTTGGTATTGACAGGTCTGGACAAAAATTTTACTGTGAATTTTGTATTGATACCTGTCAACCCAATATAATTTCTGAGTTACCCAAAAATAAAATCAGTCTTTAGTGATATAAAAGAAAACATCCATTTTATGAAAATTGTTGCAAGGTATAAAATATTATGTCATTTATATCTGCAGCTTTTATTTTAAATATTTTTTTAACATCATAAATATTCAACAGAATACAAGAGGGAAGAATTTCTGACTGTGTGCTTCGGCATCATGAAGTATGATTGGTTTTTACAATGGTACAGGGTGATTTTTTAAATGAGAATCCCCATGTTACTAATGTTAATAATGTCATATATTAACAGGGTTTAGGGTTATTTTGGCAAAACTGGTAGGCACAGTGTACAGTGTGCAAACATGACATTGTAGAAAAGTGTATGTTTTTGGTTGAATGTTACTTAAAAACAACTGAAAGTGATTACAACCACTGGTTTGGATGCTGGTCATCAGGAGAATATGTGATAAGGAAGTTTGTGGAACAGTTCAGGCAAAGAGGAAATGTAAACATACTGAAACATGAAGAAAGTTGTCTTCTGGGATCTGATGTCATGTATTCTTTGTTTCAGCGGACGTTTCGGAGGAACGTATCGCCTCCATCGTCAGGACAGGTGAATTGGCTTGCGAATGCAGAGTGCAGTAGCTGTAATGATTAGGAAGTGAAAAGCGCTGCTATATGTAGGAAGTAGGGGGGGGGGGGGGTGTTTAGGGAGAGGGGACCAAGTGAGTGTGAAGTGAAAAGCGGTGTTATAGGTAGAAAGTGGGGGGGGGGGGGGGTGTTTAGGGAGAGGGGACCAATGGGAGCATTGAAGAGCGTTTAAGGCCATGTATCGTCTTGTGGGCGAAGGGTTGTAATTTCTTCCTGTCCCCAACCCTTCGCCCGCAAGACCATATATGGCCTTAAATGCTCTTCACTGCTCCCATTGGTCCCCTCTCCCTAAACACCCCCCTGCCTACTTCCTACATATAGCAGCGCTTTTCACTTCCTAATCATTACAGCTACTGCACTCTGCATTCACAAGCCAGTTCACCTGTCCTGAAGATGGAGGTGATAACGTATCTCCGAAACGTCGGCTGAAACAAAGAATACATGGCACCAGATCCCAGAAGACAACTTTCTTCATAGTCATCGCCGTGAAAACCTCAAAACTTACATACTGAAACATGTTTGTCATTTGACTGTTGTTATAGAGAGCCATATAGCAAAGGTTAGTGACAGAGTGAGTGCAAGTAGACTCAAGCTATTGCAGATACTTGCACAACAACCTCGAATGTCATATGGTAGTTGTTGCAAAGCAGGGGACACAATGCAGTTGTTTCCATATGAAGTGCATATTATTCAGCAGCTGTGACTGCACTGTGAAAAACATTAGTACTGTGAGTGGTTGCATGCCAAGATGAAGGATGACCACCTCATGTTAGACATGACTTTTTTCTCAGATGAGGCACAGTTCCAGCTAAGAGGTACTCACATGTGGTTGATGGAAAATCCTGTGCAAGCCATGAAACTCCCCTTCACCTTTACAAGATTGGAGTGTGGTGTGCAGTGTCACGCTCTAAGGTTATTGTGCCTCTTTTGTTCAAAAACACCATTAACTCAAGAGTGCTACATTAATGCAGTTCATTAATTCCTCAGAAACTATATTGAAAGGAAATTTCCAGAGTGTGGTTCCAGCAAGACAGTGCAGTGTCTTGCAACACGATTGACTATATGTGAGCTATCCTTATTCAGAGATCGGATCATTAAAAAAAAATGTAGCCCTCATGCTGGCTGGATTTGTCAGGACAAGATTTTTCTGTGAATCTACATTATTAAGGACAGTGCATACCATAGTAACCCACTCAAGTTGGATGAACTCAAAATTAACATATTCAACATTTTTGCTGATATTTGTTCTATGACACTGTAAGCAATGTCTGCAAACATGCCTTGTCATATTCAGTTATGTGTGCGACATGTTGGTGCGCACACTCAGGACGTTTTGTAACAAAATGTATTATAAACACTTCACTTTGATTACAGTTATTGTTTAAAAAAATTGATATACTGCACGAATGAGTTTTGTCAAAATGGCTCTCAACCTTTAACACATGATGGTATTGTGATGTGAGGGTTGACAGCTGGAATATTGGAGACAGAAGAGAAGGTTGTTGCTAGATAGTAGCTGGTAAACATGCTACTACATCATTAAACAAGCAGGCCATTGCTGGGCAACACATTGTTTTCTACATGATCTGATCCGAAGCTATATAACGACCAGCTGGAGCAATGAGTTAGTTATGAGCCAGCTGCCATCCAGTGACATGAATGCTGAAGCAGAAGAAGATCCATGGTTAAAAGCTGTAACGCAGCAACACCTAGTGTAGCCCAAGCAGCAACTAGTGAAGACAGCAAAGTGAGGAAACTTAGTGTGTGTGCTAGTGATTTGTATAGCGTGTATATTATTAATAATGTTGTAATTATCTGTAGTTACAAGTTATAAGAGTCAAATGAATCCAATTAGTGATTCAACTCTGGGTCTAGTCACTAACATGTGATAGTATTAACGTTCCTAACATTGGATTCTCATATAATAACTACCCTGTATGTGTACATCTGCAGTAAATGTACATGAAGGCCAGTGAGATGTCTAGGTTAGCAGAGGATGCAACTTTGCAGTGGTCATATCCACTCTTATTCTAATTTCCACAAAGAGATGACTGTGGCAATACCCTCCGAGTAAAGCCAAAAGATTTCATCCATTAAAGATTCTTTATTGCTCTACAGTTTTAGTGTTACGTGTCCTGACTTGGAGTGTAGATATGGAGAACAAAATCTGTATGCTTGTATGTCACAGATTTGTTTTGAGGCTTTGCTTTTCAGAGTTTGAGACATAATTCTCACAGAATTTGGCAATATTTTATTCTTTTCAAACCAACGTAGCCTATCATCCATTTGGCTTTATTCCACACATTGCACATACTGATTGTTTTATAGATTTTCTATCTTGAAAATGCATTGATGTTTTTGTTTATTAATTAATTTGTTGATGTGAGAGGTAGGTCTCCTCTTCCCAATAACATGAAGATTTTCAGGAGATGTGGAGGTGAAGCTTCTTGTACTGTATAGACTATGGCACTGGGCAGGAAGAGAATGGTCATCTTCAGACTGTGGTCACAAGCTCCTGGCATCTGTTAGATAATATACTGAAAAGGCATTATTGTTCTGAATGTCGTGAAGGAGAGAAGAGTTCCAATATTTCTGCAAGGATTATGGATCACTGAAGAAAGCAGCCTTCTGGGATGCGGCGCTGTGTAGAAATTGTGTTAACTGACGTTTCGGAGGAACATATCGCCTCCATCTTCAGGATAGAAGACAAATTCGCGAATGAACCAGCTAGAGTAGGTGCAACAGACATGGCGCCACATCCCAGAAGACGGCTCTCTTCATAGTCACCGCCATGAAAACCTCAAATCTTACATTATGGATCACTGTTCATTTTAATAGGAAATTTTCCTGTATAAGGTGTAATGAGAAACATGACTTAACCAAGAGAAGTTTCTTGATTTTTGAGAAAACAAAATTATATATATAGTTCATTTAACCTTAAGTCATTCTTGAATTTTTTATAGTGTAAATGGTCTCGGAAAGGTTTCCTTCGTACAAGATGGAGTCTCTGTGGATCAGTATTTGACCTCATTAATATTCATTTATTCCATGATGCATCTAATTTCATTGCCATGGAATCGGTAAGTAAGAGGCATCTTACATATTTTTTCCTGAATCTTAGGATGTGTTTTCATGACTTCCATACTCTGTAAGTATGTGATGACGCTAAGGTATTCTGTGATATCATGCTAGGTAGCCTGGGGCCTGTTTGTACTTGTCAAGACATGAATATCCTGTGGACACTTTAACTGAATTGTTCAGTTGCTGTTGGACCAACAAGCATGATAATTTCGAGAGGAGAGTGTAGTGTGTGGAAGTTTTAAATGTTGTGGGATAGCTGTCAGTGTTAAGTGGGTTAATTTAAAATTTTTATGGTGATGTAATTGCTGTAGATGCTACACACAGTGTGTGTTTAAATGACATTCCAGTTTGAGGTGTTTGAGTAGTGTCATGGGTTCATGGATGATTGTAAATTTTTTAAAAATTACACGACTTCATTCAGTGTTGTATGACATTGACAATATGAGACAGATGCGGAAGGTTGTATGATTTGAAGGAATGGCTGAAATATGCATTGTAAGTCTCAGAGTGGCTTTGAAAATTGTGTTAGAAGAGGTCACATGTGGCTTCCAGAAATGATAACCCTGTGATTTCTGAAAATATTTTTTCAAACTTTGTCTAAGGGCTTCTTGGTGCTGTTGGATTATGCTCATATTTATGGCTTCTCTTTTGAAACTGTCTGACGGTACCACAATAAAGGTTTGGTTTTGGTTGTATTCATTCTCTTATGTCATAACAGATTGTTTTAGAATGTAGTGGAAATTCATAAAATATTTTTCAGTAGACAGTGCAGTCCTATTCCATGTGGTGAGATATAAGTCACCAAATTTATATTTTTGCAATTACATTAAATGAACATTCTGTACCCATCTATATAGACTAAATCTAGGAAAAGCAAGAAATTATGTGGATCTTGGTAGGATAATTATGTGTGTAGGAATTTACTTTTATTTAACAAATGTCCTTGCACAACATATGCTCACAGTGACCTGGTGAACTTTAACTAAACTGATGGATTTGTCAAGTAACTGGTTCATTAAAGCATCATTCTAGAATTACTGCTTACTTGACTGTAGGTGTTATTTCTGTTTGTGTGCTTCTGTGTGTCATTTGAAATGGCTGGTTTAACTGCTGTAACTCTGTGAACCTAGAGGTCATGTGGTTATATATAGGATTTGGCTTAAAATTGCAAACACATTTTTATTGAAACATTGTTTGTTTTATTATGAATTTCACACTAACATATGTACAGTATATACTTGTATGAATGGTTTACAGCTGTTTGTTTTAGAATGAGACAGGTGGCTGAAACAGGGCATGTACAAAAGAGGTTGTCTGGTATCTAAAACAGCATATGAAATACTTCTGTACTTGGATCTGCTGTTACTATTCATTCTTTAACTGCTTGCTGCGTTATTTGAAAATGTTGAAGGATTTTGAGAATACAATTCTTTAAAAGATCTGTATTCTTAGTAATTTCATTAAATAGCTTTTCTTGCATGAAAGTACCATTGTGTTTTATTTTGTCACTGGTTGGGGTGTTTGTATAAAGTTAATAAATGTTAAGTAAAATATGAATTTCATGACAAGTTACATGATTATATAAGTTGGTGATTTGTGTGAGATTTATTTCCTCTCCAGATATGGGTTTCTCACCCTAAGGCAAACAACTTGAATTGAAGGTATTTTAGAACAGGGGTTTGCATAGAATATTTAGACTGCAGAGAGATTAAATAACAGGAAGTTGGAGGAAATTGCATGAGGAGCATATTCATAGTTTGAACTTTTAACACATTACGGGGTAATCATATCAAAGAAGAGGGAATGAATGGGACATTTAATGGTCATAGATAGAAGAGAAATGCATGCAGAAATTTTAGTTGGAATCTGAAGGAAAATAACCACCTGGAAAACCTAGGCGTTGTTGGAAAGATGGTATTAAAATTGATCTTAAACGCATGGGATGTGAGGATACAGAAGGGAATTGAGAACTTATTATTTATTACTCACTGTTAGAATTCATAGTCCCTGGTTATTCAGCATGACCTGAGGTTTATCTGGTAAAGCTGAATTATAAATACTAAGACATGGAAAATTGAGAGCATTGATGAAGAGATGTCACCATTCAGAGCAAGCTGGAAAGTGCCTCTCAAAGAAATGGGCTATTACAGAACGCGACAAATAACTTCACGCCTTATTTGATCTAGCGAATTTTATTGCACATTTGCTCTTACAATCACACAAATTTACAAATCCACAATTACTGCTGTCTGCAGTATTACAAATACTGGACTGCATACTCTTCCCTGGCCAACTCGTAACTCATAACTGAGAACTAACTTGAATAGTCTTCGCTGCTCCTTATTTAGCCCTGTTCTGGACAACACAGAAAACAGCCACGTAATAGGCACCACTGTTGTCTGGCGCCGTGTTGCTAGCAATGCTGTCGGTAGTTGTTTACGGCTGTATAGCAACCGTGGCATCCCTTGGTCACGTCACCGCTGGCGGGGTAGGGGAAAGAGTATTTACTTGCCTGCTACCCTAGTAACGACAGCGCTGGTGGGGGGAGGGGTGTCATGCATAGCGCAACACCTCACAATATATATAAAATTATAATATTGCCAGAAGAGGGGCAAGTGAAGAATATAGAGATGCTGTGTGGAGTAGTGTTGAGGCTGATACAGGCAACTTGCTGTTATATGTAAAGCTAAAAAGGAGTAGATGAATATAAAAAGAAGCTGAGCTGAGGCGTATAAGCTCTGCTTATATTTACTGCTGTTGAATCATTGCAGGTATTAAGCAGGGTGTGAATGCTGTGAAATGTATTTAGATATGCATCTCTGCTGGTTGTCTTTATCTGGAAGGCCACTGAGCTAGCATAATGTGTCTGACTTCTATGTGGGTGGTTCATGTATGAGCTGGGACACCAAGTATTCTAATTACTTTGTCAATGAATGAATAAATGAAATGAATGGCATTCATTCTTCATTTCCTCCAGGCAAGGGGCATGATTGTTGCATGAATAGGCCATGCTGCTCTTTTTCCAGTTTCTTCCAGTGCTTTTCTTCACATCTCGTTTAGTATTCAGTAACCTCTATAGTCTGTAACGGACTTTCAAATAAAGTTCGAACCTTCCAGCAACATTGGGAGTTTGCGCACTTTGCATGCTTGTATTCACATACTTCAGTTCAAATTAAGCATAACTATTTTTTATTGTTTTATATATATATCAAGAAATATACTGTATATGCAACTCTGCTAGTACTCATACATGTAATTTTCATTAATATTCTTCTCTTTTTCAGTTCCCTTCAGTTTACTGCAAGAACCGTCGACGTGCTCTGGAACACACGCTGGATAGGTTAGAAACATATTTTAATTACATTTATTTGATGATAAACATAACATGGGTTAAGTTTTAAATATAAAGGTAAAGGTAATTATGTCCCTGTGCTTAGTTAAGAAGTGGAAGTAGGGCTCCACATATTAACATCTATGCTAGATGGAGGTGAGTGGCCAGCGTTATGTTCAGTCACCTTAGTCGAGGGGATGAAGGCCCTAGTGAGTAGGGGAATGGGTCCCAGAGCCAGTCTGTACATACAGTGAGATAATTCAGTCTTCATCCTGATGGGGCATAGAAAGGGAACTGTCTGATTTTCCTTTCCTTAATTTTTTCTTTCTACCACTTTCATATGTCATCTATTCCATTGTGTATTCTTACCTTTCATAATCCTTACTGCCCCCCTCTGCATGCTGAATACTTGCCACATCATCCCTATAGAGCCACCATATCATTTGTTTATTTCTTGGATATTGAGGTTAATTAGAATCATTGAAACTCTGGTTTCACCAGCAGCGATCCTTCCGATCACTGGGACTGTCTCATGGTTTCAAGCATGACTTCCAACTTGTGCGTCCCTGAAGGGAACTGTAAAAATGAAGATTGAGTGGAACCTGTATGCAAGTCTAGTTGTGGAGCCCAGACAAGTCATGTACGTGCACTTTGTGCTCTGGAGCCCGCATGGCACAGACAGTCTGACTGTAATATTCTAATGTGATACTGCTGACAGGGAGCTGGAGTGTGTTCAGCCATTCGGATCATTTTTTTTTATTTTATTGCTAGTGGGGTGGGTCTAAGTCCCTTGTATTGCGGCCACTTCTGGCCAATTGTACCAGCCCCAGATGATAGGTGAGGGTGATTGTGAAGCAATTGGGGGAATGAAGATTGGCAGGGGAAACCAAAGTACTTGGAGAAAACCTGCCCCAGTTCTTTTTGTCCACCACAAATCCCACTTGACCAGACTCGGGATCGAACCCGGGCCGCCACGGTGGGAAGCCAGCGACTAATCACTTGAGCTATGGCGCGGCCTCATTTGGATATTACTAAAACTTCAACCAGTCACATCCCTTGGATGCACTTCAGCAGTACTGAAAATGAATACCTATGCAATCAACACTCATTCTTGTAGCTATAATATGCATCAAAGCTACATTTATGAGACTTTAATAACCAAAGCAATTTCTAATATCCACCAACACATGCAGTTCTTTTAGCTCTTCACATGCTTTTGCCATCTGTTATTACTGTTTTAACCTTATGCCTTGACAGGCGGAATCAAAGACAGGAGTACACACATCTAGCTTAACACCATCTCACCATTATATACTTTTAATGTTGTTATTACTTTTATATACTAGGCTTGAAAAAGTCCAGTATTTAACCTTTATCAGTAAACTAGATTATACAAGACTAGGAGGTTGGTATGAAATGGGCGCCAGGCTGGGAGTTAGTTGAAGCAGTGAGAGAATTGTTAGAAGCTGTTACCAGGAAATGACTAGTGGAGACTAACAGACTGAGAATGCTAGTCTGTGTGCATTAGTGATTTGTGAAGTATAATAATGAGTTGTGTGAAGTGTAAATAAATCCAGTATCCAATTCAAAACCCCATCAAGAGTCAGTCATGCATGTGATAATGTACCACGTGGGTTTGTGGTATTACTCGTAAATGTGAATAAACTTGTCTATTTTAGATTAAAACTGCTTTATTTCTCATTAAGTATAAGAATCGTTATTTTGTCATTGTTAATAGTACAGTTAATTTAAAATAATAAACGTAGATGTGGCTCAACACAGCTCACTCTGTAAACCCTGTTCCTTCAAAGTGCTGGTAAGTTTTAAGCACTCGACGCAGTTTGATACACAGAATCTACAGTGAACACATCTAATATGATTATTCTGAAAATATTTATGCATACCCAAACATAACCAATTTTTGTTATGTTTTGAGTGTATTTAATGTCATTTCCTCGCTTGCACAGGTTATGTTGCACTGAACTGAAGGGTTGTAAGTGATAACGCACAGGAGGTGTAGAAGGCAACAATCGTGGCCTGCTTTGAAGTACTGTGTCAGTAATTGCCTGGGCAGACTCAGTCTGAACCTCTGTAATATCAAGCAGAAGGCAACTTAATTTTGATGAAGTGACTGCTTCCACCTCAGCTTTTTCAAGACCCTTAGTTGTGGATGGAAGTGTCTGCATTGAGTCACAATGATAAAATTTTGCCAACATTGGTTTCTTTACTCAGGATTAAATTATAATGGATGCACATGGGTAGAGTCCCCCTATATTAGTACTGTTTCTCCTGTGTCACAGTCTGGTCATCACTCTTGTAGTGTTGGAGGATTTAATATCTCCTATTTCCCAGTTAATTAGAGCCAGGATAGCGACTGGCTGTGGGCAGGATGACCAAGGGTCGCAGTTCAAATACCAGTGGGAACAAGAATTTTCACTTCTGGGCCTCACCCAGGCTCCTGTCAAATGGGTACCGGAGGCTGTTTCCTTGGGGGTAAAGCAGCCTGGCCATAAAGCTGACCACTTCCAACTAGTGCTGAGGTCAAGAAAACATGGGTTTATATATCCACTCTCCCATACATTTTCATGTCATAGTGTTTAATTAGTTAAAGTACAGGTACAGCTTTACCTTATTCCAATTTAATAAGGACTGTAGAAAGAAATGTATGTCTGTTGCCTGTAATATCATCATCATCAGTAATCTGTCAGACGACAGGTCCACAGTCTCTTCCAAAACAGTTTCTCCACTTAATGCGATCTTCTGTTTTTGGAAAGAGACTATCCAGGAAAAGTGATAATGTGGTAGTTTTTCCATTTGCTTTCCACATCCATATAATAGTAATAGTAAATCCGCATATTTAGTGCCAAAACAGTGCTGAAGCCCAGAATGTGTGGGCTTTGTCTTAGTCACCTTACATCATGAGGGTGTGATGTGTAGTCCCAGGGGCAATTTTACATATGCCCCCTTAAAAATATATGAAGCGTCAATTAAAGCAATGAACACAGTAAAAATATAATCATATAGTAGACTACTGGAACTTAGGTTCATGTCCAGTGATGGGGCTTCAAGTTATGCTACCACAGTAATACTTAGTTACATGGATATAATTACTTTTTGTATTTAAATGTGTCAATTTTGTCTTGTTTCAGGTTTCATAATGATGACTATGGAACAGCTCCGTTCTTTGTCTTTGGTGACTTTAACTTCAGGACAGACACACAAGGAGTTGTCAAAGTCAGTAGGAGTTTCTTTTGTTTTCTGCTCTGTTATCTTGGTTTTGGAGTGGATTCTTTGAGTCAGGACAGGTTCAGTAACACTCGATGTTGATTCCCTTCCAGATAGGTTAGTAATGTAATGATTCATATATATTTATATATATGCTTTAGATTTCAGATACATACAAGGAAATGTGATACATATAATATAAATTCTTGGAACATATCACATATTTTCCTTGTCCTATGCCTGTGTGCCTAGGTGTAACCATATGTTGAAGGATGTTTGAATGACCTTTCTTTTGGGGGAGGGGAGGGGGGCTTAGTATCAAGTAAGTCCTTCTCTTCTTGTTTTTGTTCTAGTTTGTATTCTTTCCAGAATGTGCCACATTCAAAATTAACACAATAAAAAGTTCCTGGTTTCTAACAGACCCTTCACTAGTAACAAAAAGTGGGGATAAAATCCCTCAGGTAACAGCTGATACCACTGTGAGTTATCTTGTCAGAAGGATTTCACCTTTCCTACTAAGTCCTAAGAGTCCGTGTCATAGTTCAAACGGTTAGTTGCTGGCTTCCCACCGTGGCAGACCGGGTTCAATCCCGGGTTTGGTCAAGCGGGATTTGTGGTGGACAAAGTGGCACTGGGGCAGGTTTTCTCCAAGTACTTTGGTTTCCCCTACCAATCTTCATTCCACCAATTGCTCCACAATCACCCTCACCTATCATCTGGGGCTGGTACAATAGGCCAGAAGTGGTCGCAGTACAAGGGACTTAGTCCCACCCCACTAGCAATAAAAAAAGTCCTAAGATTCTCAGGCTTAGAAAATTGGCCAGAAGTGGTCGCATGATGATTTGATGATGTTGATGATTATGATGATGATGATGATGATGATTTGTTATTTCTGGTGATAAGTTGGACTGCAGGCCATCTGTGTCTCATCTTCGCTTTTATACTATTTTACCCATTGGGGCAGGGGAACCAGTTGGCTGTTGTATTTTATTGTTAGGCCTTTGACCCTCGTTGTTGTTCATGTTGTTGAATTATATAGTTTTACTTGGCTGGTTGGCTCTTCTGGCAACTTTATGGTGTGGTGTAGAGGGCAGAGTTTTCATGCGGAGGCTGTTGTATTTCTTGTTATTCCCCCTGGTCTAGTTTAGGTTGTCTCAGGTATTCAGGTCTGTTGTATGCTTTGATGTGGCTTAAAGAAAGGTCCATTTATTTTAACATGTCATTTTATATTATATTTTATTAGTAATTTTTATTTAATGAACCACAACGATGGGGTCAGTGTTTTGGACTGTCTTGTTAAGCACCTCTGTGGTGTGAAATAGATGAGAAAGCAAGGTAGGTCAGGGTTCAGTCACTTGACTGGGCAGACACCTCTGTGAGGTTTCCTGTGGACAGCTACTTCTGGGAGCTAGCAAAGATCTGTTTCTTTTCAAGAACTCTGTAAAGGTTTCTTTCAATGCAGACTCTCTGCTGGCAGGGAGAGGCCAGGAGCCACAGTGATTGATAGAAAAAAACAGTTGAATCTCTGGATTTTAGGAAAAATTGTATCCAGCCTATTTTTTTTTGAACATACGTGGAAAAAGCCAGGTTCCATATAATTATTTAACTAGTGGAACCACTCCACAACATAGTGTGGGAAGTGAACTTTTGTTTGTAGTATCCAGGCAAGATGTAAGTTAAAATGATAAGACCTGCAGGTATGTAACAAAGAAATTATTGCAGTAAAGGAAGGAGGAAACTTATTTTATGCTGTTTTCCCTGTAGTACTGGCAGCCCATAAGTCCAGTGGTCTCTTCTGAGAGCTGGATGCTTAGTAATTACTTTGAATGACTTTGTTAGTGACAGAAAATGAAGTCTGGCATCATTTCTTTGTTACAACAAGTTTCACTCTCTGATATGATCATGGTCAGTGGAGTTACAGCTCTTAAAGCTGATGTCTTCAACAACCTTCTCATGAGCCTAAAATAAGCAGAGCTAATGCCCATCACTATTGAAAAGTCAACAGATACCATAAATATTGCTCACCTTTGTATTTTTGATTGATATTTTATGCATATGCTCAATTTCATGTGTACTAAAATATCTGATCGATACATCCATGGAAGTTCTTAATTTCTGAGATTGGAATTCTTCAGGACAGTCTTTTCTGGAACATCTGCTGGGACATAAAAAGTATCTTTGATATACAGTTGTATTTCCTGGCTCAGTAAGGATTAAGGGCTGGAGAGATTTATCAAGCTCAAGCATGCAGTAATACAGGATATGTAATTCAATAGTAGTCTTATTTCAGTAAGCTGTTGCAGCAAGCTTCTTGCATTAGCACAGCAGGTGCTGAGCTTTCTGTATTAGCTTATGGAAACCAGTTTGCTCTTAAATTAGATGTTATATAGAATTTCTTGATGAATGTTTTCATAAAAATGCTCTGATGATTAAAATTTCACAGCAGGATGAAGGCTTTATGGAAAATATGTATTTTTTGTGCAATATCTTAGTCATCTTATATTCTGAAGAATATCTTCAAAGAAGGAATAAATTCATCATTAATCTCATTGAGAAACTGAAAGTCTTACAAATGAAGAATTATTTATATTTCTGTGAAAGGCTCTGATTGTGACAGATTTTACCATTGTGTGAGATGACTCTGATGAATGTTTAGAAGACATTATTTTGCACAGTAAAATAATAAGATTGTTCAGGAACTCATTTGGTACTCACCAAATTTTTTACTAAATGTAAAAAGCATTTTCCTGGAATTCAAGAAGTTGCACTGTAGCTGGAAATTATTGATATGAACTCATCTCATTGAAAGAGCAGTTTAATGATGCAGGTACTATGAAGTTTTGGACTGATATTGATTCATGCATATAAGAATTGGCATTCCTTTGCTTACCATATTTAGGTTATAATTCAAAATTGGTTTACTTACTTACTTACTTACTTACTCAATCCTGGAGCTGAGCCCTTCTGGAGGAGCCGCCAATTCTGCAGCTACTCAAGAATTTCCCAGCATTTTGTGGAACCCGAAGGTTCATTACCGTATTCACAAGAGCCCTCCACTGGTCCCTATCCTGAGCCAGATCTATCGAATCCATACCATCCCATCCTATGTCTCTAAGATCCATTCTAATATTGTCCACCCACCTACGCCTTGGTCTTCCCTGTGGTCTCTTTCCTTCTGGCTTTTCCACCAATATCCTATATGCATTCCTTGTCTCCCCCATTCGTGCTACATGACCTGCCCATAATATTTTGAATTAGTGCTAATGTTTAGGTAATGCATGTCCTAAAAAGACCATTTGTAAATTTTGAGCCCTTTTAATTTATTGTCATTTTGTTTTAAGCTGAATAATCTCTGGTTTACTACAAGTTGACCATAATCTTGGGATTTAAAGAATCTCAGTTACCAAGGTAATGTTATTTGTTGTTTTCTTATAAATTAACAGAAGTAGAATTATGGTTAGTAGGGCTTAAAAATAATTTTGTTTACTGTGTCAGTATCATTGAGAAGGTTGAAGGAAGACTGAACTTGTTGTTTATTGGTAGTTGATAAATGGGAATTGTTTAGTCATAAGCTGCTTTGTAGTATTTGAAATGAATTGAGGTTTCCGGAATTGAATGAATCTTGGAACAATTGTCTGATAAAATTTTAAGTTAGTCTTGTAATGTATTTTCAATCATGAAATTAATGCAGAAAAATTATGCATTAGTAATACAACATATATAATGAATTGACATTGTTTCTACTTATATTCCATAAGTTACAGAGATATACCACAAATGCTGCAAAAGTGATGTGATTACTGGAAGTTATTTTTTAATATTTGTCAAGACCTCCTCTATTTGTATAATATTTCATTATTAATCCTTTCCTAGTCTAGATCCTGCATAAGTAATCTCTGACCTTGCCTTGAAATGAAAGCTATTGGACTGTTGACTTCTTGGGGATTTCAGTAGCTCATGCAATATCTGAGGGCATTGTTCCTTTCACACATTGGCTTCAATACCTGAGTTGTCTTAAAATGAAATAATGCAAAATAACATTTTTATGCAATAATGATACAAAATTAAGGGTTCAGTCTGATTGTAGTTGGAAGAGGATTAACTAGAATTGCTTCCTTTAATATTAATTTCCTTCTGTATCTGTTGTGTTTGCTGGTCTCATCTACCCAGACCTAGAAATAAATTCATTTTAAAGTTGTTGAATATTCTGTCTGTGACTGTATTTTTCTCTTCTCTGTAACAGAAATTAGCAGAAGGTTTGAACCCAGTTAGGCTACAGAGTAATAAAAGTACTGATCACACGAAACTGCAGTACCGTGATGGGATAAGCCAGGTCAGATTCTGTTTTATGCATTTTCCTTGTGTGGTGTAATATATGTTTAAAAGTGGTTGTTTTTATGTAAAGTTTTAGTTGAACTTTGATGGAAATTTGATGGAGACTTGAGCTTTTAAGTTAAATTAGAACCTGTAGTTATACAAAGTCTATCCCAGATGATTTTGACAGGATTTTTTAGGCTGTGTTTGGTAGCCACATGAAGTCGTTCTGTGATCAAGTGTTAGTATATTGTAGGATAGTTATACGGGCAAGGCTCAAATGTGTATATGAATATACAAATAATGAATGAACTGAATGGTGAAAGTGTCTTGTAGCTCATAAAGTGTCACGAGAATGAAGGAAATAGTTTGAAGTAATGGGAGTCACATTTGTGGTAAGACTTTTAAACATGTCAGAGGAAATGATGTGACATTGTTAATTAGTAGAATTGCTTGTGTGAAGATTTTTCTGAAAGTTTTGACAGGTAAAAATAGAGGTAGAAATTCAGATTTATAAGGCATGTCATCACTGATGATGGAAACTTAAGATTTTGTTTGTACTATCCAGAGACCAAGTGTCAATGTCTATTTGACACTCCAAGGTTTAAGAAGTCACATATGTCAAGGTTGAAAGTGAAGGCTTTCGTTTTGATTAAGTCTGCTACCAAGGAGGAGCAGGTTCCTCTGAAATGTCGGTAACTATCTACACACGCACAGGGTGTAACATCTAATAAGATAATAGTCATCTGTGGAATTGTTCATTCGGAACTTATTCATAATTATTTAGATATCTGAGAGATACAGTTCATGGGAAAAGGGCAAACCTGACTACAGTGCTTGAGTTTTCACCAGAACAATAATTTTCCAGTGCACAATTCCATAATTTTTTTTTACCAAGTTTCATGATTCTCAACTTGATCAGATCGTTTCTCCTTCCTCAGCACTTGACTCAGAATAAAGATGTCTTCTTATTGTTTTAACCGAGATTCTGATTTTACTAAATGAGGAAGTGTTTATTGGAAAACATGAATGTTGTACACATACAGTAAATGGGTTCTTTATCAGACTGCGGAAATATTATGATTAATGTCTTATGGGATGTGATAATGTGTAGCCTGCTAGACTACTACCAGCATTTTTGGAGGAAAGTGATACCTCCATCTTCATGGTAGAAGAGTAAAGCAGCTCATTCCTACAAAATGTTGATAACAATCTACCATAGTGTGTCTCATTCCAGAAGATAGGAATCTTTAGTTACTACCATGAGAACCTCAGATCTCATTCAGAAATATTGTCACGTGTTTGGGTGACTAAGACGCAAGTTTGGATTGGTGAATCGGTTTATTGGATCTTCACTAGTTGTAACTACAAATAATTGTATTACTTTCAAGATTACTGTAATTATAACACACATAGTCTTTAATTCACATTCTACGAACTTCCTGTGGCTGTCTCCTACCAAGAACTGAACTGAAGGTGTTATTCTTGTTATATAACCTCCGCATGGACCACGCGCAGAAAACACAGTTCTATTGTTGCATAAAGAAAGCCACACAGAGAACACGTTAACGTGATTCCTAGCCAGCATTTTCATTTGTGCACTGTTGCCTAGCAACACACAGTAACATTTATCCACTGAGACACATCTTCCATCATTGCATGTTGACTGTGTTTACCAAACCGTTTCCTAGAAACACTTTGAGCAGATCCATTAACAATATTAATTGTGTACAAAACTCATTCAAATAGGGATCTTCTGTTACTACCAAGAGAACCTCAGGTATAATTCAGAAATATTAATTCTGTACCAAGGTCATTTAAATGGTCACCTGTCACTTTTACACCCACTTTGTTACTTGACTCTGTTGGATATATGAAATAGCAATTTTTTCTCCCCTTTGCAAAACTTAATTTTTTTTTTTCCTGACTGTGTACAACTTTTGTTCAGTACATTAACACATCATCTTCTGTATCAGTTGCTCAATATAGCAGTGTTAACTTCAGTCTAGAAGAGAGAGAGAGAGGAGGTTGGCCTTGCAGAAAGGGAAGATATTCTTTCCAAAGGCAGGAATGGAATTGGAGTCTCATAGTTCATGTACTTCTCATGGTTTTATGTCTGTTGGCCATGCTATGATTTATACATTGTACTTGATGAGGTGAAATGTGTAATTTTATTTTATTGTAAATAATGTCAGTGTATTATATAACCACTGCTGTTATTTCATCTTTGGGTTTGCTCTATATTAAAAACAATGCAGTTAAGCTTTCAACATGCTGTCTCTACTCATGGCTGATACACACACTTATTTTCAGGTAATCCTTTCTGTGGGGAAGAAAGAATTCAGTCATCAAAACCACCAAACTGTGTTCATAGAAGAAAATGGAAAATGGGTAAGTTTTCATTTTCAGTCATGGATGAAGTTGCTAACAATATCAGTCCAAAAATTTCCTGTAAAAGGGTAAAAAGGTAAACAGGTAAAGCTATCCCTGTAACAGGCTGTGGAGGCCTATAGGTTTGTGAGATATCAAGGCTCCCTCATTTTCTAGACGGCTCACAGATGGTGGTGAAGTTGTCAGTCTTACGTGCTGGCTGCTCTTTACACCCAGGAAGATTTCTGGCACTCATTTTTGTTAGAGGCTTAGTTGACCCCAGGGTGATAGTGTGGCTGGAAGGATTAGGTGAATTGAAAAATCCAGTGACCTCATTGGGAATCAAACCCGTAACCTTCCGGATTGTAGCATAATGCCTCAACCAACTATGATACTGAGTGCCTCCCCTGTAATAGGGACTCATTGAAATTTTTGGCACACTTTTTATGACACGGAAGATTTTATTACTTCATAGTTTGTATTACTGTTCCTCAAAATGACACTTAGATGAGGTTACAGTGTTCTAGAAGAAGCAGGTTCTGTTGGATGACACGTATGAAACAAGGCTGTGGTATAATGAAGTCCCCATTATGTGCATATAGGGAATGATGTCCAGTGGTTACATGAATCTGCCAGTTGCTTGAGAGAAACTGATACAGAAACCCAGTACAAAGTCAGAAAGCGTGTTGTAACTTAGTTCTTTTTTCTTAAGTTGGTTATTTAATAATGATTTTATTATCAAGACTGTATAGCATTGGATGATAGGATTATTAATTGATGTGGGTCAGTTGGTGAGATGTAGATTGGCAGGGGAAACTGAAGTACTTGGAGAAATCCCACCCCACTTCCACTCTGTCCACCACAGATCCCACATGCCCTGATCTGGAAGCTGGGGACTGACCATCTGGCCTATGCACGGCCTTTTAAATCTTGCATGGGAGTTTTCCAACATGACATAGCGGGTTGGTGAGTGAAAGGTTGGATATGTATACTGTAATGCACTCAGAAATTCAAGTATCCTCTCCCATAATGGCACCTCCATGATGGAGGATGATAAGTAGCGCTGCTAGTGGTGGCTGGGACTGCTACTTTGTGGTGAGTGAATGTGTGTCAGAGATTTATTTTAAATAACTTAGTAAAAATGGAAAATTTCCTTTGAAATCTTTTCCAGTTTGATGAGATTTCTAGATGCTTGGATACCAAATAACTGGGAGTTTACTATATATGGTAAAGTCAAGTACCATCANGGGGGGGGGGGGAAGCTATTTCCAAACCTTCCAGAAATTAATTCTTGGACTTTGACAGAGAAACAGTTTCTGCAGCTGATTATAGCAAAAGGAATATAGTGAGAACGTTGACACTGAAAACTTTGATCAGTGGTTTCGTGTTAACTGTATAGGAAATGGTTGTGATATGCTAAATGTGAAATCGGGTGAGAAAAAGGCCAAACAAAAAAAGATGGCATTGAAGGGTTATGTTTGATTAGTGTGTTTTAACCAGCAAGCTATTTCCAGATTCTGGTCATCAGGAAGTAAAATAATGTATAAAAGGAATTTACCATTTTTACAGTTATATGAGGCATGATCATCAAGTAGCAAGACTGCTATCATTAGAATATTTTATTGAAAGTGTGGCATTTTACATGTTATCTCCTGAGTAGTTCCTTTTGGCACCTACATGGTGCTGCATATGTAACTGCAATGACTGGAAGCCTTTTATATTTTTAATTTAGGGCAGAAGGAAAAGTTGCATTTAGCAGGCCCCATATGTTATTGTGGTAATCAGAGAAAGACTTATTCACTGTCACAAAATATCGTACATTGTTAGGAATGTATTTTAATGTGGTAAGATACTTCTGTCATCAGTTTTTTTATTGCTAGTGGGGTGGGACTAAGTCTCTTGTACTGCGGCCACTTCTGGCCTATTATACCAGCCCCAGATGATAGGTGAGGGTGATTGTGGAGCAGTTGGTGGAATGAAGATTGGCAGGGGAACCGAAGTACTCGGATAAAACCTGCCCCAGTGCCACGTCCACCACAAATCCCACTTTACCAGACCCAGGATTGAACATGGGTCATGGTGGGAAGCCAGCGACTAACCGCTTGAGCTATGGCGCGGCCTCTGTCAGCAGTTGCTGTAAGTGCATTTATTGCACAGACAGAATTGTAAAAAAGCTGATGTACCTTCAGTCAGTACCTGGGCTAGATTGCTTCTCCGTTTTGCCTCACAAGCTGTATGGGAGCTGATATTTTGTATGCCATGTTGCAGGTTGCTCCATTCTATCAAAAACTTTCTAGGTATTTGATAGTACATCAGTATACTCTTAAAAATTAATTATAGTCCTCAAGTAAAGTGGTGGCCTGTATTGTATAATACAATCCAAAATTATTATTTTACATGGTTATTTAGTACAAAGAATACCAGTGTTTTATTTTTTAATATGTAAGTATTGTCACGTATTGGGCGTATAACGCGACAAATAACTTCACGCCGTATTTGGTATAGCGAATTTTATTTCACATTCGCATTTCAATCACCCAATTGACAGTTTTACGATTACCGCTATCTGCAGTATCACAAATACTACACTCCAAATGCCACAATACAACTGACTGGTTGCTGGCTAACTCGGAACTAACTCGGAGGTAGCTCGAGGACTCACTCGGAGGTAGCTCCAGGACTGACTGTGAATAGCCTTCGCTGCTCCTCATGTAGCCTCGATCGGACAATACAGAAAACGCCCATGTAATAAGCACCCTTGTTGCCTGGCGCTGTGTTGCTAGCAATGCTAGCGGTAGTAACCGCTGTTACCACCGTCGTCTCTCGCAATCATGTTTACCCGTGCTGCCCTTGGTGACGTCATCGCTGTTGACTCGCTTTGCATAGCGACCAGGATGCTAGGACTCGGCTAACTTCGGCTCAGTTCGGCTTCGCTCGGCGCATCACGGCTGGCGGGGGGGGTCCCCCCGGGGCCACAGGGGGGGGGGGGGGGGGGGCGTCATCCATAGCTCAACATGTCACACTGCTCCCTCCTTAAGGCTGTTCGTCTCGAATAGCCTAATGGTGCATCCCTGTTCCTTTTCTGTCCCGTAGCTGTGCTTGCGGTGTCTCCTGTTGTTTCGGCTACTCTTCTTGCAGCGACTATTCTTCGTCCGTTACATCCGCTCCCCTCTTAAGACAAAGCTCGTCTGGAGCGGTTTCCTTTCAGCTCACCAGAAGATCCAGTTGTGTTCCATTCATCTATTGCTTTCGTCCTTCCTTGGAAGGCCGGTACTTCTACACTACCGGTTCCTCCACCGCTTGAAGTCTCTTTTTCCGTTTTGGAGGTGGTCGTCCCCTCCACAAGGTCCAATCCCTCATCAGGTCTTTCGTCGGAAATTTCTTACATCAACGTAGCAGCTCTTGATGCGTTGTTTGCACTCGCTGACGTCGTCGTTCCTTCTGGTCTTCCAGCCACTTGCTGGCGCGAGACCTTGGTGCCAAGTCCTTTCTCCGGTATCCGAAGGTTCCCTGGGGAGTTTCCTTCTTGAAGTCAGTTCTCCAACATCGTGCCACTGTCGCGCGATGGGATATCTTCCTGCAGATGGCAGCCAACTTTATCCGGGACACATGATTTCCTCGGGTCCAAGATTTCCTGAAGATGATTCTCCGGCGCCATGA